GAAACATAGACACAGTGTTCTAGTTGATTCTTCACTAGTCAGGAAAATACACTGCTAACCCAGTAGTGAATTCTGTCACACTTGCTTTCAGGCCTTGCATGTGGTCTGTCGTGGCCACTGTCCCATGTAAATTTGAAAAGAATAAGCATGCTTTCTGCTGTTTGAGAAAAGGTTCTAGAAATACTAGCCAGGCCAGCAGACAACAGTGGTGTTCAAGTCTTCTCTAGCCTTGTGTATTTTCTCAATAGAAACATGTAGATAATATTTTTAAAATTACTATAATTTTTATTAGTGTGTGTGTGTGTGGTGACGGTGTGTGTGTATGTGTGTGTGTGGTGATGGTTGTACATGTTGTGTGCATGTGTGTGTGTGTGTTGATGGTGTGTGAGTGTGTGATGATGGTGTGTGTGTGGTGATTGTGTGTCTGTGTGTAGTGATGGTGTGTGTGTATATCTGTGTGTGGTGATGGTGTATGTGTGTAGTGTGTGTGTGTGTATATGTCTGGTGATGGTGTGTATATGTGTATGTGTGTGTGATGTGTGTGTGTGTAGTGATGGTGTGTGTGTGTATGTGTGTGGGATGGTGGTGTGTGTGTGTGTGTCGGTGACAGTATATGTGTATGTGTGTGGTTTGTGTGTGGGATGGAAGTGATTGTGGTGTGTATGGTGTGTATGTATATGTATGGTGATGGTATCTGTCTGTGTGTGGTATGTGTGGTGATGGTATGTGTGTGTGTTTTGTGGGGGCAGGAAGTTGATGTCTATTGTTTCCCACCTGATTTTTTTTGAGATATGGTTACTCACTGAAATTGGAGCTCGACAGTTTGGCTAGACTGACTAACCAGGAAGCCCTGGGGCCTGCTTGTCTCAGAGGAATTGCAGAAAATGTTTAAAGAGTTATAGATAGTTGTCAGCATTCTCAGCATTTATATGGGTGCTGGAGATTTGAACACGGGTCTTTATGGTTACACGACAAACACTTTACCCACTGAGCTGCCTCCCAGCCCTAGGTGCGTTTTTTGCTGTTGGGAGTGGTTTGTTCAAGACAAAGTCTCACATCACTCAGTCTGGCCTCAAACTCAAAATATAGTTGAGGGTGGCCTTGAACCCTTCATTCTCATGCCTCTCCCTCCCGGTGTTAGGATGAAAAGCTGATTGCTCACCATAACGCCCTCCACAGCAACACTTCTCATACAATGACAACCTGGGACCACCCACATGTCCATCGTAAAGAAAATAGGTGAATAAATGGTGTAGTAGCCACACAGTAAGCACATGAGAACTGGCATCTCATCACCATCATGGTAAACTATTCATCAGGGTAAACTGATGAATCCCAAGCAGGCTGAGGAAAGCCAAGCACAGCAGTACAGCTCATAGTATGGAACCCACATAAGCTAGATGCAGAAGTGGATACACAGTGGAGAGTGGGGGCTTCTGGGTACTGGTGACATAGGCAGTTACAGTGAGAAAGAAAGTGTATGTAGGCATGCTGACGGTCTGTACATTCTATCTGTACGTCACCCGTGAGGCCGGCAAATAGCATGAAATGTCAGGCAGGATTAAAGTAATAGAAACTCCTACCTGCAAACAGCAAGTGTAAACAGCATATCCAAGTGGAAAGTGCTTTGAATCATCTAAATCCCAGTACAAACTCCAGGGCCTGATAATTCTACCCTTCCCCTTGGTATTGTGTCCTGAGCAGTGTGCTTCCAGCTGTGGGTCAGCAGCAAATCAATTTGGGGAGTTGCAACTGGCATTTTCCTACAGACTGAAATAGAAGAGACTAAAATAAAGCAGCAGGAGTCAGGAATGTTCTCATGTAGCTTTTTTTAAAAAACCTGTGTGCACACAATGGACACATACCAGGGATCCTCAGGTTTTTCCCCAAAAGGTCAGGACAATTCCAGGATCAGCTAATGGCTTTGTGAGAATGTGCCTTAATTTGTATGGGTGGAAGGAGACCCAGAGTATAAAGCAGTGGACTCTCAGATGTTTTTAGTGGAAAAGCACCAGAGCCCAAGAGCTATGGCAACAGTAAGGTCACTTCCAACCTGTAGGATGAATCATCTGTGTGGGATGGACCCCAAGGACCCTCATCTTAGCTTACCAGGGAGACAAGGGACTCCCTGGGAGTTGATGGCACTACAGGATGGGTGTCAGTTGCTATTACCGAGAAGATGTCATCCTATGCAACTTCCCGGAAGTAGGGGACACCAGGTCCATCAGTAGGTGGAAGGGATGTAAGGAAACAAGGTGGCCCCACCCTCATGGGGGCTTCTGTGAGGGGCTCAGGGTGCATAGAGGAAACAGCCTGTGATATTCTGGACACTTCTTCAGGCCCTGGGCTACAAAAGGGCCTCTAGTTGTAGATGACCCTGGTGTAAGTTTTGTAAGGAATATTGTAGATGGCCCATCAGCCATGAAGGTGGGTATGCTTCAAGCAAGCTGAACACTAGAAATTGGCCAGCTGTGGAAACAGTAGTCTTGAGTCTGATTGACCCCCAACATGTCAAGACATCATAGCATACAGAAAGCAAAGAAACATTAACACAAAGAGAAATGGCAACACATGCCCACAGAGATGAACACAGGTACTCAGCAGCACCTTGACTGACACCTGGAAATGAAGACAGGGCCACACGCTGATGGGGAGACACCACAACTTGGTTTATTCAGACAGAAACAACAACTAAGAACCAACAAGCACACAACAGCAATGAGTCTATTGCACACAACACTGCAGATGAGCCTTGGCCACACAAGCAAAAGAAGCCAGACATCGCAGAGTCCGATATGGGATCCCAGACATAGGATGACTAGCAGAACTGGTCTCCAAGATTCACATTTGAGTTGATGCAGTCCAATGGGATAGGGTAGAATGGGAGGACTGGGAGCTTTGGGGAGATAATGTCTACATATTAGAGGGGCTGGGGCCACACAGTCTCTGTTCTTTAAAGCTCACTGGTTCAAAGGCCTCAGATCAAGCATTCTGTCCTAATTGAACTTCATCTTGAACATGTATCAACACTGGAAGCAGGCAAACAAAAGGCCAGCTGAGTGGGAATGGGGAGAATACGGTGCTTTATTTTATTTTTCTGGCTTCTGGGTGTGTGTGTGTGGGGAGATATCCTATCAGGAGCATCCCAGCCATTCAGTTTTCCTGACCCTGAAGAGAACAGCAGTCCTCTTCCATGTCACTGTGGACTTGCCCTGATTTCTACTGTTTTCTGCATTTCTTGTGGTTGGAGCCACAAATGCACCATGATAGTAGAACATGCATCTGTCAGGTGTTATCTGCTGCCTTCATCACTGGGGCTTGTGTTCCCCTTGGCTCCCAGGTTCTGGCACGAATTTTCCCACCAGGGTTATCTTGCATCATCCTGAGAGTTCCAGTATAGGGGCTAGCGACCTAGTCAGTCAGTGAAGGGCAGATTGAAACAAGGCAGATGGGATCCTCGATGCCCTTAGGACTCTAGGGAAGACCTGGAACATCCAAGGTTCAGAGCCCAGGCCTCTGCATCCCCTTCCTGTACACAGGAATATCATGGGGCTTCCAGCATGGGGTTCCTTTCCCACCAGCACTCCAGGTGCCCAGTGGCTCTGTGTTTAAAGGTGGATTTGCCTGCAGATAGTTCGGTAAAGACAATGCTGGCCTTTTGGCATACCTCCTTCCTGACATCCTCATTCAGCTGGGATGGGCAAGTCATACCATGGAGGTGGTAACTGTGCCTACTGGAGGCTTGGTGTGTTAAGTTCTTCTTTCATTTCTACAGTCCTCAGGACTATCCTAACAGGGACCTCAGCTTCAGGGCCCAAGACAACTTGGCTGAGGGTTCAGGGCCCAGCTCTGTGAAACCCAGCTGGAGGGTGGGAACGGCGGAGAGGCAACTGGGACCACGACACAGGATGATTTCTTGGGTGTCTCCCATGTTCTGCCCTTCACTCAGTGGAATCTCATAGAGGTGGGCACAGCATGTTCTTTTTCCCATCCCACCACTGTGGATTGTCCAGGTTGCCTAGTGCCATCTTGGGAAGGAGAAAAGGAGCCCTTCAGGTCTTCCCTACAACCTAAGTGCAAGATAGACCAGATAAGGCATCCCTAACCGTTGGTCGATGGCACTCAAACAATGAGTCAGGGGGCCTGTTTTGCTTAGAAGTCTTTAGGCAGCTCACCCTATTCCACAACATCGAAGAGGTTTCCCATCACTCCTGCTGGTCTAGAGAGACATGCTCAGGGGAACTGTGGCCTCACCACAGGATTGTGATGAGAAGTCTTACCTTCAGTCTTCTAATCCCAGAGAGGCAGAAACATACAGGGATATCAAGGAAGATCCGTGAGGGGATGTACAGTCCAGGCCCTGGACATGATTTGGCTCCATCACGACCCCAAGGCTCCCAATGCCCTTGCCCTCCTGGGGTTTCTGGACCCTAGGAAATGCTCACCATAGAGCCCTGTGACCCTGAGGTGAAAGCAGGATTCCTGTGGTGCTTCAGTCTTCCTGTGAGGTCCTGCATTCATTCTCCTGTGAGTGGGACCCATCTACATAGCTCACTGCTCTCTTTCTTACCAATTCACCCCAAACTAAACAAAATAAAAACCTACTCAGGCTACCTCATATGAGGTGAACTGGGAATCTATAGAACCCATATCTAAGGCTGCATGTGTGGGGTCTTTGAATTTAGACTCTTGTAGTCCACACTGCCGCAGAAGACTTGGGGTTCATGCTGTACACTAGCTCACCTCTGACACCTTTGAGTCAGAGAGCAGCCCAGCCTGGAGGGTTGAAGGGACCACATCATGGGGGGTGGGGGAGGGTGTGGCTAGCAGAGGCACAGTGAGAATTTCCTGGATCTTATGAATCCCACAGCATGAGGGGCTCTGGTTCCTCAAGGGGGATGAATTTTTGAGGCCTCATAGGATAACTGAGATCAACACTGGATCATTCTCTGTGACACAGATGGGTATGTGCTGTCTGTAAGCCAAGGAGTGACTGTCACTTGCTCTGGAGAAACTTTAATGGGGAGTCAGCCTGCAACTGTATCAGCCCTCAACTTGCTCCAACCAGGCCCATGGCCTGACTAGAACCAGGGCCAACTTCCAGCTCCCAAGAAGCAGCGTCTCTCTCCTAGGTGTCTCATGGCCGGTTTGGAAGATGTGGGTGACTGAGTCGCATGGCCCTACAGAGATCTGGGAGCTGGCAGCTGCTATGTCCCTAGATCATACCAGCCAGCCAGGGAGGCAGGAAGAGTCCTACAGTGCCCAGAAGGCAGACAATGATGAACATCCAGAGGAAGATTCGGTCAATGACCATGGCCACGTATTTCCAGTCCTCCTTCACCTGTAAACATAGACATGGGTCACTCTAGCTCCAAGATCCCATGAGCAGACAGAGAACCTTCTGGAACTTAGCACTATGAGCCATAGTTTCTGTATTTCCCATCAGATACACATCTGCACACAGATGTGGTAGAGAATCTGCTGGGTCAGAGTGGCTGCCTCAGGGTAGAACAGAGAGAGGTACCATACGGGGTGGACTGGATATCTATAGAACCTATATCTAAGGCTGCATATGTGGGGTCTTTGAATTCAGACTCTGGTCATCCACACTGCCATAGAAGACTTGGAGTTCATGCTGTACACTAGCTGGTCTTACCTGCTTGGCAGGCTGCCTAAACTCAAAATGTAGCTCATTGGGCCTACTTTGGACAGACACAGGGCCCATGACTTCAGGATGAAGGTTGTCTTATCTTTTCTAAAGCTAGTAGCACTATGGAGGCCGAGTCTACCTTCTCACAATGCAGATGTCAGAAGTGGATTCCAGAGGCTGGAGAGATGGCTCAGTGGTTAAGAGTACTGGCCGCTCTTCAAGAGATCCTGGGTTCAATTCCCAACTCACACATGGTAGCTCAACCATCCATAACTCAAGTTTCAGGGGATTTGACATACTCTTCTCGATTCTGCTGGCAGCAGGCATGCATGTGGTGCACAGACATACATGTAGCCAAAATATCCATATACATAGCATAACATTAAATTAAGAAAAAGTGGATCACCGGGCGGTGGTGGCGCACGCCTTTAATTCCAGCACTTGGGAGGCAGAGGCAGGCGGATTTCTGAGTTCGAGAGTTCGAGGCTAGCCTGGTCTACAGAGTGAGTTCCAGGACAGCCAGGGCTACACAGAGAAACCCTGTCTCGAAAAACCAAAAAAAAAAAAGAAAAAAGAAAAAGTGGATCTCAGAGAGATGTCAGCCTTGTGTCCTAGACCAGAAGGTAAGAGCCAGAACATGCTAGGTAATGGATTGATCACTAAGGCCATCTCAAAAGCAAGGGCTAAGTGAACAACTGTCCCCTGGTCTGGTTCTGACTATGCACACCCACTTCCTACGTGGGCACCATAGCCAGCCTGAGCGGGCACTGGTGTGGAGACAATGATGGTGGGAGATGGTCCATGGAGGGAGGAGGGTCCGAGACAGAGGGTGAACAGTGGCAACAAGCACACGTAAGAATGATGTATAAGTCCACCATCTGTGGCCACCCAATCAGTTATCATTAGACTATATAGCACATGGTGACAATGGAGTCCAAATGACTACTGGCTCTGTCTACAGGTTTTTCTGGATCCCAGTGTGAACTCTAGCTTCTGCCAGGGGCTGATGCAAGGCAGCCTACTTCCTCAATAAGTTCTCAGAAGCAAAGACTCAGGAGACTAATGCCTGGGTCTAACTAGGCCTGAGAATTAGCATTGTGTTGAAGGCAGTCTCTGCATGCAGATGTGTCTTTGTTCTCCAGACAGGGTGCCTGTCACACACTGTCTTGCTCCTTCCTCTTCACTGTCCTGGGAGCACATCATTTGTCTAGAAGGGCCTGTAATAACCCTGAAGCTTGATCAGAGCTGCACCAGAGACAGAGGACAAGGGGGCCCTGAGCCAGTCTGTGCATATATGTGAGTGGCAGGGAGTAAGATGTAGTAAGCAGAACTCAACCCAACCAAGGACACTTGGACTGGCTGCCCCAGTTGCAAGGGCTTCTACCCTGAGTTTTCAAAGGAATCATGGGTGTCCTGTTGGTTTAAGCCAAAAGTAAGTAGCCAAGTCTACTTAGAAAACTTCAGGATGAATAGATCTCTGCTAAATAAAATACCCCTTTAGGACTCCTCAGAGCAAATGGCTGTTTGGTGTTCCTCTTCCTCTCCCGGTACCTGGGACCAAGACTTCGAAGATGAAACACCACAGCTATGGACCAAAGCCCTGCTGTCCTGTCCCTATTAAGTCAGAAAGCTTCTTGGGGCCAGAACCAGGTCAGGCAGCTGCAGTAGGCCAGCAGAGATGGAGGAGGTCACAAGCCCCAGCCATGGGACTGTGCTGGAGATGCACTGGTTTCAGAAGGATTTCAGTTAAACTTGTCATATCCATCCTTCCTCTGTGGTCTCACTCCAGTGTCTGGAGCTCTCCCTCCACCCCAGCAAGAGAGTCCCAGAAACAAAATGTCTTTAAAATCCAGAATGTTCCAGAGACCTCCAGAAAGGCTTCACAAGTTCCAGGGACTTAATGGGGGTGACTCTGGGAGCCGATACCCATTCCTGGGATGTGAGAGCACCAGCCTCCTTTCTTTCCAGGGCTTGGCAGCTCCAGGAGACAAGCCACTAATGCCTGGGAGTGGACAACAGACAAACCCCAGGTTGAGTAGGAAGATGAGCAGAAGCCAGCAAAACCAAGGTCTCAGGAGGGACAATGACAAATACCAGCCCAGGGCAAGGTCAATGTAAAGATGCCACAGACATTTCAGCTGGCACAGCAGAGACAAAGGTAGGCCAGGAAAGGATTTCTCCTAATGCCTTCTTCACCTCGCCTCTCTCTGATTCTACACCCTAAACTGTGCCCCATCACAGACAGACCCAGATTTGGCAAGCAGCTTGCCTAGCACCAGGAGTTCTGCATCTCAGCATTATCTGATCCCAGACCCCAGCTTTGGAGACCCTTCTTGTAGCAGCCAGACAAACGTGAAAGAGCGATGATCAGACAGAACTGGAACTGCTTCCCGGCTCTGGTGAACAGCTAGCCAGCCATTTACCAGAGCTGCAATCTGGGAAAAGTGCAGGAGCACTTGTTTTCAGTCAGGAGATACAGAGGAACATGGACACTCTTTTTCAGGCTGCTGTAGAGTCAAAGCTGGAAGCACAAATAAGTGCAGGTAGACTGGCTAAGCACCTGTGTTCTGTCTCCAGATTCCTGAGGGCCTCACAGTGGGGCAGCACTATGTCCTTGCCCCACAACTCTTCAAAAGGAAAGATGGTGCGGGGCGGGGTGGGGGTGGGGGCTGCGGGGAGCACAGATTCTGGCAGCTCCACTTTCTTCCCTATGCCCTCTCAACCTTTCTAGGGTTCAAAGGGCCACTCTTCACCAGGTAGAAGCCCAGGGGAAAGCTGTTCTTGGGGTTACAGTGCAGCAGCAGCAGCAGCAGCAGCAGCAGCAGCAGCAGTCCCACTGCATTTTGCTGACTGCCAGTGTGGGACCTTGCCTGTCACCCAGGCATAGGTAGCCAGTAACAATCTGAACACTTCCAAGGAAGACCTTGTAGGTATTAGACTCATAGTGCTAGAAACAGTCTCTCAACCTGCTGCTTGGGAAACCTGGATGAAGGGACAGCATCTCAGTTTACTGTCCACCAGCTATCCTGTGCCGTGTTAACCCCAGCATGGCCTAGGGACCCTTGCATGCTAGGCAGAGACTACACTATGTATCCTCAAGGTGTGCAGCTTGTCTGGGGCCTTGATTTCTGGATCATGCGTGGGAAACACAAGACAACTCATCCTATCTGGGCCAGGACACTTCCCATGCACAGCCTTTGGCAAGGACTTACCGAGAAGTCTGTGTCTTCTGCCTTGAGGTGATCTGCAATGTATTGGACGCCTTCTACTGCCCGCGTCAGGGCTGGTGACAGGGGCAGGTGTTGGGGAGGTGCCTTGGTGCCTCCAGTCTTGAGCACAGTGACGGGGGACACAGGAGATGGTTCCTTGCATGTGCATTTGCATGGAGAGGCCTGGTCTGACACTGGAAGCTGGGATGGACGGGCCTTCAGGGAGGCTAGGGAGCCAGTGGGCTTGCTGTCAGCCAGGGAGGCAGCTCCATCTTGGGAAACACAGTACTGGATACTCCGAGACCGGCAGCGGATGCCACCCTCTGCTGCTTCTTGAGAGCTGGGCACATGCTGGACACTCAGGGACCTGGCTTTGATGAGCACTGGGGCCCCACTGCTATTGGGTAGGTGACAGGAACCAGGTGATGGACAGGGACTGGCCTTCTCAACCTCTGATGTCTTCAAGTCAGGGACCTTGTGGGACGGTGACCTGCATGTAGTCTGGGTCTCAACTGCTGTGTCCATGGGGTTGCAGAAAGTTGGGGCAGGTGACAGGCCTTGGTTGCAGATGTCACCCAAGATACCAGGCTCGCCTTCAGGCTCTGGCCAGAAACGAGGGGCATTGGCCATCTTGTGCATGGACTCAATAAGTCTCCGGCAGTTGTCTTTGACCACAGATGGGCGCTTCATGAAGAGGAGGCGTGGCACGATGTCCAGGAAGACTCTGCGCACCCAGGCGGGCATGGTATGTGTGCGCGGTGAGCGGTGGTGTACATTGAGCACGAAGACCGTGATGACGATGGAGAGGGTGACGAAGATCATGGTGAAGAGCAGGTACTCGCCGATGAGCGGGATGACCAGCGAGGTGGACGGGATGATCTCGGTGATGAGCAGAAGGAAGACGGTGAGAGAGAGCAGCACCGAGATGCACAGCGTGACCTTCTCACCGCACTCCGAGGGCAGATAGAAGACCAGCACTGTGAGACAGGAGATGAGCAGGCACGGGATGATGAGGTTGATGGTGTAGAACAGCGGCAGCCGGCGGATGATGAAGGCGTAGGTGATGTCGGGATAGATCTCGGCACAGCATTCGTACTTCCTGGTGTTGTAGGTGCCCACGGCATCCACAATGACCCACTCCCCACTTTCCCAGAAGTCCAGTTGGTCCACACGGCTATGCATGCTCACCAAGTCAATCTTGGCCTTGTCATAGGTCCAGGATCCAAACTTCATGGTACAGTTCTGCTGGTCGAAGGGAAAGAAGGTGACGTCGATGCTGCAGGAGCTCTTATAGATGGCTGGGGGTGTCCACTGCACACGCCCGTCATAGAACAGGTGGGCTTTGGTCAGGTGGGTGACTGCAAAGTCCCCATCCGCACTGGCAGGAAGCGAGAGAAAGAGCAATGAGGTCTGCCCCTCCATACACCACACCCATGAACATTCATGCGAAGAAAGCCTCCCAGCCCGACTGACAGCTCCGCCAGCTGTGTGTGCACAGAATGCAGGACTATGTGTAGTGGTGCATGTAGTCTGGGCCGTCACTCACCTGTGTGCTTCAGTTTCTCACCCTTGAGTCAAGGCGACACGTGGTTCGGAAAAGACAGAGATAAATGGTGTCTGCGCCAGTGAGCAGAGTTAGTGTTGCAGTTCTTATTCATTGCTATTGTGAAGACACAGGGTGGGACCAAACCACCGGCTTCTGAGCACCGATTGCCTCCATGAATTTGCATTTGTACCTCTATTCAGAGGGGCCTGGGCCACCTCTGCTTATTGAGGCACCGTGGGACTTTCCCTTAGCCTCCACCTGAGCGTCTCATGTACTGAGGGAGGGGCTGGCACCTGTCCTCTTCAGTTTAGGAACTGACAATTGGCCTCTATAGTGTGTTATGGATATCGCGGAGGTCCCTGCAGGACCATAGCAAGCCCACTGTGCATGGACAGTATGTGTCCACAGTGGTAAGACAAGAGGGCCCTGAAGCCTCATCTGGGAGAATAGGACCTGCTGGGCCAAGAAGCAGAGAGATGAGACAAGCAAGACTTCTTTCCCATCATCCACGAAGAGGATCCCACATCAAGCAGTTGTTCATCGTGTCCTGATTAATGGATCATCTTGCTGGAGGCCAGTTGGCTTCTCTGCCCATCTTATCCATACAGAAGACACCAGGTATGGAAATGACAATGCATAGGTGACCGCGGTGCCTCCCAGGACAAATACCCCTGGATTGAGCCCATATTCAGGATGGATCTACCCTGACCTTCTGACGCTTGAGCCTGAGAAGGCCTCTTTCTCTCCACTGGCACCAAGATTTTGGAGGCTACCTCCCTACAGGGCATGGCACAGGCTGGATGTGGACTCCAGCTGTCTAATCCAGCCTCCAGTGTCGATTGTTGGCTTCTTGCCTCTCTCTGCCTTGGGGGATGTTTGTCAGGTTGAGCAGCGGCACATGGAGATGCTGTCCTCCAGGCCCGTCCTCTCGAGCAGAGTTCCAGCCTTGACCTCTGAGCTTCTCGAACGATGCTGCTATGCCTCATTTTACACATTATTGGAATTTGGTGACACTGGGAAGCAGCTCTCATGAAGCCTTCCTCGTTCTGCTCACCTCCACGACCCTCTCCAGAACTGGTCTTCTACAGCCTCTACTCTATTTGTCCCGTGGAACCTGGGCTGCAGTGCCACTCTTTAGGTCTTGGCTTCCTCACAGGCCGGGGCTGTTCACTCCGGTCTTAGATTAGCATTCACAGACCGTGAGAGAGCAATGCCCTAACGTGGTTGGGCAAACACTGCCAGCTTCAGCTCGGAAACGCTGACGGGGAAACCTCAATTTATAGCTAACGAGCTCTCTGAAGCCTGATTAGATCCCTCAGTAATGGCACCTGCATGCATCGGTTTGGTCTCGACACTCATATGACAGTGTAGCTCAGAGCCACAGGCTCTAGAACCCTCTGTCTACCCCTATTCCCCTATGTCCATTATTTTTCCCACCTAAATTTACAGTCCTGGATCATTGGCTAGTGTCCTTCAAGGCTCTTAGGCAGAAGGATCCAGGTCCATGAATTTCATCAGCCAACTGGCTCTGCACCCTGACCAGCTTCTCAGGTCTAGACCAGGGTCCATGGTGGCCTCCCGGGAATCTTAGTGGCCCTTCCTATGCTAGTCTAAATCCTGCAGTACCATTCCCAAGTCCAGAAGACTTGAGCCTCTCATGGTCTCAGTGGGTGCCAACCCTGAACCTTCCTGCACATTAACACATCCTGGGCTAATGCCACCAGTTTTCTCCTGTGTAGCTGATCTGCATACGGAAGAACCTGGAAATGCTGCTGTCTTTATGCACCCCAATAAGGCTCCTGGCTGCACATTGCACAGAGAACAGCCTAGCTTCCACAGAAGCTGAGGTTCCCTCCGGGTACACGGGGGTGGATCTTGCGGCACATTTTGGGCCGTGTGGAATCAGGCTTGGTTTCATTTCCTTCTCTCAGTCCCATCTCTCCAAAAAAAATCAAAGCCTCAACACTCCAGGCACAAATTTAAATTCTCCTACAGTCAGTGAGTAGATCCTCTGCTTTGCAAATATTCCGGAGGGCAGGCAGGGGAGGCTGCAACCAGTTGGCAGACAGGGGGCCCTCAGGGCTCACTTGAATCTGTAGCTCCCATCTGCAGCCTGGGTTGCTGGGTCTAGATTTCCCACCCCTGAAACACACTGGGGGCTCAGTAGTCACATCTCAGGTTACTGTGGTTCCATCTGCCTTCATCCATACTCGTCACAGTTGGGGCTAGTACGATTGCTCTTCCTGCCCTGCCTAGCATGGCTGGGTCCCCCTTGTGAGTTTTCCAGAGCACCTAAACCTGAGTGTAGGGTTCCCTCTGAGGTTGCTGACAGGTCCCAAGTGCACTCTCTGGGGGCGGAGTTCTCTGAGGATGGCAGTGTGGCCCATCTCCTTCAGATTCCGGCCCTGCTTCCACGTGACACTGCCACAAAACCCCAGTTATGAAAAAGGTGACAGTAGAGTCCACAGGGCTCAGCACGCTGTATACTACTTCTGGCTGCCTTTTCTTCTTATAGTGCCAAGGGTAAGGGTCTCAGAATGCTCAAAGGATATTGCTGTCCCAGGGACCATACCACTGGCAGCCCAGCTATGCACCAGGACATCGGGTTCCTCAAGTGGGCTATCAGCCTTTCATGGCAAGGCTGCTGATGCCTGTTTCCAGTTCTGTACCTGAGAGTCCCCAGGAAACCAGAGGAAGCACAAGCATTTGGGTCCTAGAGCCATCCAATGTGAGTTAGTGGATTCAATGAGCTAGCCGGTAGCTGGAGGAGGGTGGGTCCTAGATTCTATCTACCCTAAGAGGCCCCATCACATGAGGCTGCATTTCAGAGGCAAGTGTGAGACCTTGATTGCCCTGTAGCAGGTGGAGAGTTTCTGGGCTTCCAGGAGAGGGAGCCCCAAGTCAACAAAAAAAGAGTGGGGACTCCCATGTCCAGCACTGGGACCAGCCATCTGGCTAGCAGCTGCTGGAAATGGCCTTCCTGCCTGCCAGCAAGAGTCCTATCAACCCTCACCAGCTCCAAGTCCTGTTCAGATAGACCTCAAGTACTCATCTCCAGCCACACAAAAAAGGAGATCTGCCCCTTTCACAGTATCCTAGCAGGTAGAAGAGATAAAAAGGTGACCTTAGAGGGGTGGAAACTTCTGAGTGCTTGTCTGCAGTAGCTTGATGCTGGGCTGACTATTGGCTCCCCCCACCACCTACTCCTCTGCCTAACAAATACCACCCAGGAAATGAATATCCTTCCTTGTCATGGGTTCAATAGGCTGCCCAGAGTAGATTTAGTACTTGATCCCAGGATTTGAGGGTGGAACAAGCAGAGTGTTGGACCCCAGAAAGGCCCAGTAGCTAGAAACTTCCCAGGGTTCAAGGCTCAGCATGATTGCTACAGAAGACAGAGAGTCATTCTGAGGGGAGAGCAGGAATTGTAGACCTTGCCCTTCCCTGACATATATGCTCATTCTTAAGCTCACCCATAACTCACTCTGGAAAACCACCTTCAGCTCCTTCTACAAGCCGAGGATGTGGCTAGTACTCCACTCAATTAAAAAGGAAGAGAACCTCAGTCATTCTTAATCAAATAGGAGCATTTGTAGGTCAGACGGGCACCCCAGGGTCTGGAGGGGACTGTTGGCAGATGGCTGGGACTAGGGGGTAGAAAAGCTTCTGTTTGTTTTGTCTGTAAATACTGCGGAAGCTGCTGCCCACCCAAACCCTGAGGGAATAGAGCATCACCTCGGGAAGACTCAGCTCAGAAAGCCAGCTGCTCCCTAGCCGGGTTCCCAGGAAAGACAAGTGTGAAGATGCCCATTTCCTGTCTTGTCACCACTTAACTGGGTCTGTCTCCATGTGGACTTGAGCTTCCAGGAGCTGAGGCAGGGTGTGAGCTGATCTTGAGAGCCGGGTTTGCCCACTGGCTCGATGCCCAGTGTTGGATACAGCATGGAGTCAGGACCAAGAAGAGCAGAGGCGTGGCTTTGTGGGAAAGCCACTTCTCTTGCTCTTTACCTACTTCCAAAGTCCCCTGCATCAGTGATCAATCAAACTGTGACTTGTGCATGGCAGGGGTTAAGGGTACCTGCCTGAGATGGGGCTTGCAGTCACTGCCAGGGGAGAATGTCCAATCCATTCTCTGCCCTTAGGAGACCAGCAGAACTAGAAGCTCTCCAGACCTCAGAGCGGGTACCCCCAGGGGCTAGTGGCCACACCAGCCCGTTGGACTTCCTCTCCATTTGCTCCTCTTTGTCCCTAGCGGCTTCTGTGCTGGGTGGGGCCTGACCTCACCTGCCAGGGCCCACAGGGCTTACTTGTTGTAGAGGACGATGTCAGGCCTCCAGATGAGTTCCGAGGGAATGCGGATGGAGGTGACATTCTCATAGTCGCCAGGGTCCCAGCGCAGCTTGTAGTCATGCCACTCCTGGGTGGGAGTGGAGAGCCGTGTGTGAGGGGGATATGAGGCAGAGGGCAGAGGCTGGGGATGCCCTCCCCACTCACCTGCTTCACCCACACGTTGGTCGTCATCATCTGGTTCTTCTCATCCTAGGGCACAAGTAAGAAAGGAGCTTGAGGTCCCCCTCAGTAACAGATATGTCCCAGCCTAGATCTACTTATCCATAGCTAGCTGTAGGTGTGGATAAGCAGCGCTAAACTTCAGGAGGGAAGGAATGCCTCAGCTCTGTAGGTAACGCAGCCTAAGGAAAGCTAGGGATAGGAGACAAGGACCCTGGAGCCTTTCCAGAAAGACATTGAGGGATAAGCTCAGCTCCAAATGGACCCTAGGCTCCATGTAGACTGAGTCGAGTTCCCAGAAATCTGACAGCCTTTTCCACCCACATTGCTCCCTCCCTCTTCCTCTGCAGATGAAACCCATGTGCTGCTATCAAAGCCACTGGCTGGGGAGGCCTTGACAAAACTACCCCTCTCCCAGAGCCAAGGTGGATATCATAGGACGATTCTGGTAGTTTCACCTCAAGGTCACCATGTAACAACCAGTCAGGCTGAGGAGATCTAAGCTATAGTTTCCTCTGTGAGGTCTCTTACAGCTACTGCCCCAATCTACCTACCCTCCCTATGCCTTTATTTCCCCTCTGTGCCATAGGAATGGGCCCCTTTGCTTCATTCTTGGTGGAGAACCTCAGGTTAGAGTCCCATGTTCTGAGCAGTCAGTTCCTAAAACAGACAGGACCCTTGTGAATAACAAGCCCTGGTTCAGGCACAGGGGTCTTTGGGGACAGAAAGGCATCCTTAGCCATATCTTTTAGCCACTCAGTACTCAGGAGGGGCCTGCAAACTCAAGCCCACAGTCTAGGGAACAGCACTGAGCCTTGCCCGAGCGCAGGAAGGTCTGATGTGTGCACCTCATACTGGGCAGCTGACTTCCCAATCTAGACCAACATTTTCCTTCATGACAAACATGAAGCATGACAAACAGGCTTCTCAGAGGACCTAACCAAGGAGATCCCAAGGCATCTAGCAAGAAAGTGTCTTGCCAAGAATAACTCCTGCCCCACAAAAGTCCTTATAGGCTGGTATGTGTGGGGAGGCTGCACCCGCTGAATGCCCAGCCTTAGGCCTGGGTCTTCTCCAGTACAGTCACCTAGGAAGGTCACCCAGTTGCCTGACCAAGTCTTCTCCCTGAGAGAGAAGACAGAATGCAGAACAGTCTATAGGCTGCTGCTTCCTGTGCTGCCTGCATGAGCTGGCTCATCCCTGAATGAGCTAGTCTGCAGCAACCTCATCCCTGCATGACCTTGACCCATACTCAAGGAAGCCAGGAATGGAAGACTGTCTGCTTCATCCCATAAGGCCTCCGGGATCATCAGAACAAATTTGACTCTGGGTTGGTTGGGTCTTCCTTTCCTAGCATAGCCCTTCCAGCTGCACGTGGCCGTCACACTTCAGGGGCCTTTGATGCTGCAGACGTGACGTAGAGCGGTTGAGCTCATTTCGCAAGGGCTCAGCATTGGGCTAGGAAACCACTGGGGATCCAGTAGTCTTCTCTGCAGCTGATGCTTGGGTATGAATTCAAGCAAATCACTTACTGAATGCAGACCTCAAAGAGGACATCCGTAGTAGATATGGTGGTTTACAAAGGCAGGGTAAGCACTATGATGGGGGCACCTGGATCTCAGCCCTTAGTGGAAGAAAGCAAAGCAGGCCAGACACAAGGTAGAGCTTTCTACACAAATGTAGCCATGAAGCTCCAACATGTACAGTGTCAACCTAGAACCAGCACTTCCCTTTTAGCAATGTCAAGGTGCCTGGCAAGGCGTGGGGTGTAACTTTGGGACACCCTCAAACCAGGCTCAGGAACTATCTATATGCATGTGTATACACGTTCACACATGGCCTTAGCTAGATCAGGGGCAGTGATCAGGCCTGGGAGCCATGTCCCTCACAGAAATCTTGGTGCTGGTTATGCTTTGGGCCTCAATGTCTCCAGAGAGAGAGACAGAGACAGAGACAGAGACAAACACAGAGAGAGAGAGACAGAGAGACTGAGAGGCAGAGAGAGACTGAGCTTAGACAGCCTTAGGCAGACCTGGTGGTGGCCTCCTCAGTACCTTGAGCTGCTGCCAACAGTCGCTTCTGCCAGACACTACTTTGTAACTGTGTTTGCAAACCTCAGCAAGGTTGAGGGGCCTGTACATCTTGCACTGTCCTTGATGTCCCCCAGCCAGGGACACAGTTGGAACCATTCGGGGGGCCAAATGCTGGGCTCTCCTGAGAATGACACTTAGTGTCTGGCTCTGAGTAGATTCAACAGGCAAGGTCTCTGTGTCCAATCCCATCAGCCTGAAGCCCTGGGATGTTGCTGGCTCTGTCAAAGATAGCATAGTTGCTCTCAGCTCACGTCAGGAAAGTACAAGTAATGGCTGAGAATCACCCAACATGTTCAGTGCCAGCCTCGAGCCAACACTTCTCCTTGTAGCAGAGTGTGGGGAGGGCTTTTAGGGCACTGAAGGCTCTGCAGGGACAGGTCTCTCTCCTCCAGTCCAGACTTTGTCCCTGAACCCAGCAAAGCCTAGTATGGAAAACCCAAGCTTACTAAATCAGATGGCCTTTGACTGCCCTCACTGGTAAGGTCATGTCTTCCCAGCATGACTCCACTAGCCAGGAGAGAACCCATGCTGAAGCCCAGCACGAACAGGGCAGAGCCTTGGGTGGTACTGAAAGACAGGTGTGAACCAACCCATGGGGGATTCCTCTAAGGCTGGTCTCACCCCACATGAAGCATCTGAGCCTGGCCAGGAAAGGCTGAGTCCTAACAGAGCAACTCAGCCTCACATGAGACCAGCTTCCTATAGTATACTTCCCTGGGCCAGGACCTTGTCTCTTGTGGTTCCTCCAGGATTCCTTGGAGGAAGATCACTTCCTAGCTCACATATGTCCTCCGAGAAGTCTTCCTGGACCCTCACTAGGAAAATGAACAGATGGAGATAAACAGGACCTTGGTGGCCTCTGGAGTCAGCCTGAAATCAATGTGCTCCCCTGCCCCCGCCATACAACAGTGGCCACTCGAAGGATGCCACAACCAAAGTTTCCATAGCCTAGCTGATGAGGAAGGAATTGGCGCTCCTATACCCACAGAAGCGTTTTCCTGATCTTTACTCCAAAAGGAGCCCTGCTTACTTCAGGAAACATGGCCACTAGCTTTCCTATGAACAAGTCCAGAGTCACAGTGCTCACCTCCCTTCCCCAGTGCTGAGCACCTGCTGAGGCTCAGGATGACATTTTTCTGGCAACCTTGGTTGAACCCAGCCACATGGAATGTCTGTGTGTTAACTCCTGCATTGGCCCCATTGTCCTATGCAATCCCTGGCCGTCCCCATGCCTACCACATCAATGAGCTGAGCAATGGACAAGCCAAAGCGGACAAGGACCACATCTGAGATATTGGCGACTGGCCGAGACCACTTGTTGTAGCCGGAGAAGAGTCTCTTCAGGAGCCGTTCCTCCGCATGGGCCCGGGTCTCTATGTGGCTGCTAGCTGTTGGGGGAGACGGGAGGTTTAAGGACAGGTGACTGCAGAGGCTGCCCCTCCAACCCCACACCAGGCCCCATACCATCAGAGACCTTCCTTCTCATTCCTCTTACACCGTTCCTTCACCTCAGGGACCCTGGGCATGCTGCCTTGTTTCCCTGTGCCCCCACCCCTCCCCTCAAGGAAGCCTTTCCAGAACCCCAAGAATGAATGGGTCAGGCCCTCCTGCACTCCACCAGGAAAACAAGACAACTGACACAGTGAACACTGAATTAATTACGTAGAGTTCCCCTGCAGACAATCACTTTGGATGGAAGTGCCCTATCTCCAGTGACCGGCAGAGACAAAGGACATGGAGTGACAGCAGGGGGGTGGGGATGGTGATGGTGGCAGAAGGTGCATGGGGCAGCTAGGATGGGGGATGAATGAAAGAGGATGGGGGACCACTTCCCATGGCTGCAGGAGCTTGAGCCTCTGTCCACAGGACTGGTCTTACTGCCTGGGCTTCTAGTGTACACCCTGACAATGAATGCAGACCCTTAGGGCCACCAGCACCCTGTGTTCATAGACGGATACAAGATGTCACGGATAACGGTCACACTGTTTCACGAAGAGGATGGTCCCCCAGCCAGCAGCCCATCTGTGTCCTCTCCGTCGACCCCCCACGTGGCTAGGGGACCTCCCCACCTCCATTTGCTGGATTGCTGCATCAAAAGAGGGGGTTGGGAAGAAAGAGGGGAGCCTCTGCTGTCTGCTGGCTCTTGCTTACCTGAGAGACACGGGAACTCCTCAAGAGGGGACTCCTAGAGTCCCCTCAACCCCCACAGCCTCCTCCTCCCTCAACCTCATTCTTCCTGGTATCTTGGACCAACCAGTAAGGCACAGCCAGCCCCTCTGCTCAGTGGGAAGGCCAGGATTAAATAACTGCAGGAAGCCCCATCACGGGTTAGAGTGAAAGGTGTCCGCTTAGAAGAAGAGAGGTGGAGGAAGCCTTGGGGAGCAGAAAGGGTAGTTCCAGGGGCAGGAGCAGATCCCTGAAAACAGGGACAGACATGGGGGCGGTCTGAAGGCGAGATTTGGCAGGATGGAACCTCCCTCCTAAGTGAACTCCACCTCTATCCTACTTGGAGGTTCTGGTTCCAGCTCGGAAATGCAGCCAGACCACCCTCCCCCACCCCCTACCCCCGCCTTCACTCAAACCCCCTCTCCCAGCACTTGGAGGTTGATTCCTTCCTCTCTGGCTCAGCTAGCACCGCAGGACATCGGAGCTGTAGTGGGTGGAAGAGTCTCTGTGGCTATCCCGTTGCGCGCACCCGCGGCTTGGCACCGCAGCCCGGGGCCTCCTCTCCCCTAGCCCCAGAGTCCCAGGTGCCAGGACCCGGGAGAAAAAGGCCCGTTTCGCGTTTCGAAACTTACCAGGCAAGAGGCCGGTCCCTAAGAGCAGCAGTAGCGGCAGTAGCAGCAGCGGCGGCGGCGCCCCGGGGCCCCCGATCTCCATGGCGCACCGAGCGGGCTCTAGACGAGGGCGGCTCCCGGCTTTGCCGCGCCTCCGCTCCGAGACCCGCGCGCACCCAACTTCATGCCCCGTGCCGCGGCCGCTTGTCCCCAAGCCAGGCTCCGCAGCTCGTCCCGCGGGGCGCGGCGGCGGGGCGGGAGCTCGAGGTTGTGGGCTCCGCGGCGCGGCCCCGCCCGGACCTGCTGCCTCCAGCCGCCGGCGAGAGGGGAGGAGGGGGAGGGACTGAAGGGAGGAGGAAGAGGGCGGGAGGAGGGGGCGGACCGGGCCTGGAGGGTGTGTGGAGGCCGTGCTCGGCCCCTTGTGGGGGTAAAGTTTCCTTGTCCTCCCGAGGTTCGCGACGTGCCGGGAGGGGCTGGGGACTCCCTGGTCATTCCAGCAATCTCGGCGCCTTTTAGAAATGAGCCCCCAACCCTGGTCTCCAGCCCTAACCCTGCCGGCAGCATGAAGACTGCGGGTGCGCATTCAGAGACTGTGCGCGCGAGGAGGGCGCCCTGTTCAGCACTGGCCAACTCCATCACTTCACCCCTCCTTGGCGTGACTGTTTGCAGTTTGGAAATAACAAGTCTTCCTCAGTCTAACACTGAGGAAAGAACCCATTCCCCATTAGCCTCCCGCCCTCCTTCTGCACATCAAGCCCAAAAATCATCCTGCGACGCCCAGGCCTTGCGCCACCCTTCTAGTGAGAAGAGCCTGGTGTCCAGACCTTCGCAGGGCCAGCTCGGGACTAAGGTCCATCTTTGTCCTTTTCAAGTGTGCAGATTCTCTGCCCCTGCCTTTTCGGTAGACTGTGCCGGCATGAAAGCAGTTCTCCACCCCAGCTCTGTGGGCAGTGATCTACTGGGGAGAGGACAGGTGCCTGGAGACAAGCTGCAGGGTGCTAGGGGTGGTCCTGAGGGATGCCACTAAGGAGGAGGTGCTCGGGTCCTTTGGTTCCTAGGGCGACTCAGGGGGAGGGGAGTGGCGGGGGTGGGGTGGGAGGGACGTCTGAGCAGCAGGTGCTGGAAGGAGAGGCGATGGTCTGTGGGCATTAGTTCCCCAAGAAGAAAGAAACCCTGTCCAACAACAAAAGCCAAATGTATCCCAACCCTGCCTTGTCCCAGAGACTCTGCAGCCTGCTCCAAGGCCCTAGATGGAGACAATCCTGAGGTTGAAGGCAAGAAAGTGCCGGCTCTGTCCCTATAGCACATACCTCTCTGTCCCCAGGCATGGTGGCTCTGAGGCTGATTGTCCCTCTGTCCCTCTGTCCTTCCATGCGACACCCCCAACAGTATTGGTGGTTTTCGTGGTCCAGCTTCTGCTCCCATGCCTACCCTCCTCTTTCCCGTCTCTCCACCTTGCCCCGCCTCCTCTGTCTGCCCCATCCAACAGTAGTGTACCTAGCTCTCTTGCTCTCTGGCCTACAGTGAATACATATGTCACACACCTGCTCTGGGACCTTCAGGCGCCTCTAGGTCACAGAAGCCATCTGTCTATACCCTGTGAGCAGAGCCTACAGAACAGACTTCCAAAATATTCTCCTCCCGGGCAGAGCACCTCCGCAGTGGCTATTGTTCTCCTCCTGTGCCTTCCTAGATGCTGGCCCAAACACTGAGAATGTGTTGGTATGCCAGACTCCCACAGTATCCTCAAAGGCCAGTTCTTACCTTACCTATGCCTTTCCTAAAGTAGGCGCAGAAAGATTTAAGCAACTTGCTCACGATCACACATTCAGTAGTGGGATCCTAAAACAGGCCATCGAGCTTCAGAGCAGGCACCCTGACCCCACGTGAAGAATGTTTTTTGAGTACTCCCTTCCTTTCTGCCTGGAGACTTTCCAGGACTCAAAGGAAAGCCTGGCTTTCTCAGTAGAACTCAACTTTTTCCACAATCACCAATAGGTGATCCCTTTTGGTGTCCCACCCCCTCCCCCTGCTTAGTTTGTCCTCATCCACCTCTGTCACCCAAAGAGTCAGACCCTGGCTCCATACTTGATGTATTTACTAGCCCATCCCTGCACTAGCTGGGTATTCTTAAGCACACTTGGACGAATAAATCAGCTTGTGGCTGAGCACTGCCTGTGGGACAGAAAGCAAGCCTGTGTAAGGCTTAGCATGGTGGACCCCAAGAGATCTGAGGAGAGCAGCAAGGCCAATAGATCCCACATGGGAAAACTGCAGCTGGACCTGGGTCTACAGCCATCTTATGTGACACCTCTGTTTCATACTAGCACAGAACAAGGGATTTTCTTATGTGACTGTACACAGCCAATTCTATCTTCTATTAATACCAGAAGTCAAAGATGGAGGCAGAGTGGTGTGTGCCTATAATTCCAGCACTCAGAGGCTGAGACAGGAGGACTGCCACAAGTTCAAAGTAAGGCTGGGCTATATCATGAGTTCGAGGTCAGCCTGGACTACAGTGTTAGATCCTCTTAAATATATAGAAGTTGCCAACCATGATCCAGGTCCTTTGGCGTTTCTTCCAGCTACCCTGGAACTCTGATTAGGTGCTGTCATTCAGACATGGCTGTGGAGAAAGATACACAGACTAAGGCTTCTCTCTGCCTCTGAGTTTTAGTACTCCCTAGGTTCAGGGATGAGGGTCTTGACCCCTGCCCAAATGGCAAATCAAAACCCTCTTTTGGGTAAAGCTGCTTTGCTTTCTCCATCCTGAGTCTAACTAGCAGTTTCATCTTTTGACTGCCTTGAGTTGCTCTGGAGTCAGAGGGTAGGAAAGGGGTGGTGAGCTGGGTGAGCCCTCAGAGGCTTCCAGAAAAAGGTGCACAGGAGCAGTGTCGATGCAGTGGTGTCCACTTGTACCTGGGGATTTGTTTAGTGTACAGGCTTTGGCATCTGCTATCTGAGTCTGTTGGTACAACCTCAGACTCTTGATTTCCTGCAGCCTTTTCCAGACAACTCAGATGTAGGAGCCTCAGACCAAATCTGAATTAGACCCTGGCTTATGACTGAGTCAGGAGGAACTGAGAGTTTCTTGGGGGCAGCTCAACTCTGTTGCCTGTCTCTCTTCACAGCTTCTAGGGACAGGCTTTGTGCCCAGCCTTCCAGGTTGAGCGGTCTGGGACAGTGGCTCACACCAGCAGGCAGTCTCTCTTGGGGCAAAAGGCCAGGTGGGGGTCAGTTCCACCCTCAGGGCATTGCTGACACAGCCCTGTGCACCATGTTTACTAGTTCACACACATCTGCCTGGCTGGTTGACTTTCCCTGCGGATTTGCTAATGCAGCAGATTAATCAGTCTCACTCATTAATTCGTAGGCCCCCTTCTGCCCCACCTGCTGGCTAGAAACTACTGCTGGGGACCCTGGGAATCCTGGCAGCAAGTGAAGCTCTTACTGAGGGCATTAGACAAGAAAAGCCCAGTTTACAAGTCTATAGACTACTCTGGGAAGAAGGTTAGAGTGACCCTGAGGCCAGAGTCGTGTGTCCCTGAGGGTGGGGGTGCAGCAAGCCCCTGCACAGGCCTCTCTCCCTGGCTGTTATTTCTCCTCCAGGATCCTGCTGCCCAACTGGACAGGTAGTTCTAAAGATATAGGCCTCTGAGGGGACTTCCCTCCCTCTCTCTGCCCTCTCTACCCTACACCCTGTCCCAAGGACATTTCCATGGTAACCATCTGCTGGTATAAACAGGGATTCATATAGAGGCTGTGTCCGCTACACCAGGCCTCCATCCCACAAGGGTGTGTGAGTCCAAGTGGGGAGGCTCTGGGCCTGACACACAGGCAGGGATGTTAGTGTGGCCAGGTGTGTGTGTTGAATGCAGATGGAGGAAAAGATGTATAGCAGAAGGAAAGAAGACAGGAGGCAGGGACAGACGGAGGGAGGGAGAGCAGAAGAATGAAGGAAGGGAGGAAAGAAATATCTGTCTCCAGGGCCTTGCTCGATCACTCTCAACCCCACTCCTGGACCAGGCTCAACCAGGCTGAGGGTTCCTCTGAGATGACTAGGGCTCATGGGCAGGTGGCTACAGAGAGCAGCAGGAGCACAGGGAGAGGGAACTCGAGGCCAGGTCTTGTCTAGCAGGAGCAGAGACATGAAAGCTCAGAACACTTGCTCACCATCATCAACCCTGCGAGTACAGGGGGCTGGGCTATACTTCCTTCCCCTCTCTGATCAGAACTCATCCTCACCCTTGGCTGCTCTGGGTGTTCCTAGCCCAGGACACTACCAGTCACTCCAAGTTCCAGTCATGTTCTGAAGCAGAGTGACCAAGCTGCAGGCTATACCTGGTGCCTCGGTGGCAGCTCCAGGTCTGTAGGGAGGGAGGTCCTTGACACCCTGAAGTCTGGTTCTGGGTTAAGGGGACGTGTCATCCGGGGTTAGCAGCTGCCAGCATGCTAGCCAGGATCATCTATGGCTGTGGCTAGCGTGTGAAAAGCCCACTTTCATTGTTTTAGCAGACGGAGGACCTCCTTCCTCACCTGACTTCCTGTGGGTGCTCCTCTTTGCCGATAGGGCATCGATTTTGCAAAGCTGGGGCAGTCAGTGCTCTGCCTTCCTCCCACCACCGGCACCTCAGCACTCAGCGCTTAACTCTCTATGAATACTCTGAGGAGGGCTCCAGCTCCAGGGAGCACTGTGGTGATGAATGAGAGAGATCACCCGGCTGGCTCCAAGTTTTGCCGCTGGCCCAGAGACAGCATCATGGCTGGCAGCCAGAGCTGATTTAGAACTGCTCAGCCCCTCCCACGCAGTGACCTCAGGCAAGCCATTCACTTTCCTGAGTCTTGGTTTCCTCAGCTGTTGAATGAGGTAGCAATGGTCCCGTGTTATTGGTGCTAAGGACCAGGTGCCTGGATTACCCTTTAACTTCCTGGTTGTTTGGAACTCTCATGGGAAAATCCCAGTGCCAACATTTATGATCTACAACTTCAGAGTCTAGCATGGGGCAGACTAGGTATGACACAACCCAGAGGGGTAGCCCTGTCTCCTTGTTTGTGCCTCAGCACTTATGTGTCCAAGGCTCAGGAACATTGGCCTCAATCCCC